AGAAAATTTTATGTCACACGAGTCGTGTCACACCTCATACGACTCGTGTGAGGTGACACGACCGGTCACACGACTCGTGTGACCCCACACGACCAGTCACATGAGTCGTGTCATCCTTCACGACTCGTGTTTTCGAATACTCTATTCGATTTTTATTCCAGTTCGTGTTTTTAACAATTTTTCAAATCAAAATCTGATTTTAAAGATGCAAATTATAACGTGACTCTGATACCACTGTTGGGTTCGATAAACTGTACGGAACAGAGTTTGCAGCGGAATTTAAAATTTTATAAGTATTTATCTTATAAATACTTATTCCGTACATAAGTATAACGAGATAACAAATAAGCATCATTTAAAATCTATTAACTTTTACTAATTTTGATTTGATATTTAATTTATAAAAATTACCTTTGTTCTTGAACTCCTTCAAAACCGACGATGTATGAGGAAATCAATTCCCGGTTTGGTAACAATCACTTCTTGTTGTTACTCACTTTAGGAATCCAAATGTCTTTCCTCTAATCGTGTCCACCTTTTGAACTTTGGTTCCGACTATAGATTCTTCGCTAGTAGAAACTACTCGGTTTTTCAAGAAGTATAGAATATATATTTATAAGGAAATTTTTCAAGAACACTTTCTTGTATTATCACTCAACTCTTTGAATGAATTTTCTATTGGAAGAATTTTGCTCAAAACTTAGCAATTAATGTGCAAACATTTTGCACCTATTTATACTAAACATTTTAGCATAAAATAATCAATATTTGATATATTTTATTTTAAAGAAAATCAGATTTTATTAAAATAATCATACCAAATATTGACTTTTAATTAATAATGTGGAGTGATTTATAACCACCATTATTGTTTTAATAAAAATAGGATTAATTATGTAGATTGGTTAACAACTCCAAACCACCATAATTAATTTATTCTTATTAATATTTAATCTTCAATCATATTAAAGATAAATAATAAAATAATAATTCTTGAAAATATTTTTCAAGACTTTATTATTTTAATCTATTCTTCCATTTCCTTATTTAATAATCTTATTATTATTTGGATTTGAAATTTAAAATTCAATTTTAAATTCCAACTATTAATTAGTAATTCTATTAATTACTAAATTAATATCCATAATTTAATTAATCAATCTAATTGATTAATTTAATATATTTCTTTAATTGATATCTAATCAAATTAGATTTGTCAATTAATTCTAACTCTTTAGAAATACTATTTGAATTTTACCTTCATTCAAAAATTGGTGTGACCTTTTAGGTTCACAATTAATACTAGTAGTGGGTTTACAACTCTTTGTAATTTGAGTTATTCATATTAACTCTTATTCTTGAATTAACTCTATAATTCAAGAACCCACATATCATGGGAACATCTAGCAAGTAGCATGAATCTAGTATTAAGTGAATAACGAGTAAACCTATTTTGATTACAAGTCCATACATGTAAAATCCTTTCGACATCCAATTTCTCGATTAAATCTTTGGGTATGATTTTGTCGAAACCCAAATTGATTTAATCACTATGATTCCATTTCAAGTTTAGTAATTCGTTTATGAATCTCTATTCATCCCGCCTTGGTCAAGGACTTTGAATTACTAACTATGAAACACATAGGAAATTCACTTATCCTCATAAGTGTCGAATCCTTTGTTGGCCACTGACAAACTTCCATACATATTAATATAATACCCAAAATATCCCTTTATACGATTGTGCTAGCAATCAAAAGGATAAATCAAAGTAAAATATAATATGCACAAAGTTACCATCGTGCCTCAAGTCTAAGGATTAATCATGTACTATTGTAACATGAAAATTCTTATTCGACATGATAAACTTTCATTAAGAATTTTCATACGGTCATGTTCAGTGAACTTGTTCTCTAACAAGCACCCACATATATGTATTTGCGTCACACGCTAATGTTGATGGAATGCAACATTCTTATCTAATAAGCATACATACTATGTGCAAGTCTTTTCCAGATTTATTCGATATCCCATCTCGAAACATCCAACGACTTGGAATTGTATTTAAGATCACAGCTTTCAAGATATGTTCCATGAACACCATCTCTATGCGCAACCATATCTTATAGCTATAAGTGATCTAGGGATATTATCTTAAGTGCAAATATATGATAAATGCTTACTCTTAAAATAAAGTAATGCCTTATTATTTAATATAATTCCAATAGATTGTATTTACAAGTAGAATACGTCCAATCTGATTGGAACGCCGGGTATACTACTCCAACAAGTTGTACCCGTCGTCGAACGGTTATCCCCTTGTAAAGATTTTCCCCTAAGGCCCACGGTGGGCCATATCGATGTAAGTCACATGACGATGCCTTTGATATGTTTGTCGATGTAAGTCACATGGCGATGCCTTCGAAATGAATGTCGATGTAAGACACATGGCGATGCCTTCGACATGTACTCCTACAGTTGGATGACGATGTAAGACACATGGTGATGCCTTCGAAAAGACCAACAGTCGCTAATGATAGGTGTGTACACATGAGTCTTGATTATTGATATTATTGATGGGGAATGGGATAGATAATTGTTTCGTATATATGCTGCGACCATATCTGATTTGTTTATGATTACTGATATATTATTGAATGATGTTTACTGCATAGTGGTGAGCATCACGATTTCTATTTGTGCTCACCCCCACTTGCTCTTCATGGATGCATGTTAGTAAGTATGGGTACGGCGGAGAGATGCGAGTGGTGGTCACATATTATTTGATATTGCTTCCGCTTATTGAAACTGGTTATGGTCATTTATGAATATTGGATTATTAGAATTGAAATATTGTTAAGGAGATGCTCCTTAGTTCCTTTTGAGGATTGATTATTGATGACTGGTTATTGATGATTGGGGATTTATGATTGTTTATTGAGGAATGATGATTGATGATTGAGTAGTGATATTATTGTTGATTATTGATTTGAAAATAACTAACGCCACAAATGATTTTGAAATAAATTTGAAAAATTTATTTTGATTTACGGCAAATAAAAGTGGGGCGTTACAAAACCTTCAAGGGTTTGGGCTCAACCTGCTCTCCATGTACCGAAATCCCCTTTAAGCTATCTTCCTGACCAGACGCTCTTAATCCTGCGACATTCGACCACAACCAACCCGTTCGGAATTCGTTCGACCGAATGATTTGTTCGATTTACTCGATCGGTCTGCTTGACCGGTTTATTCCTATAAGTGTAGTATCCCATACCATCGCTGGTAAAATAATATAATGTTATGTTGGCATTTTTTTAGTAGTAATAATAATAATAATAATAATAATAATAATAATAATAATAATAATAATAAATTGTTATGATTTTTGTATTAGGAAAATTGCCACGCAGATAAAATTTATGAAGTAAAATTTAATGTTTAGCTATAGATTTGCATTACTTGTGGGGAAGATAAAAGAATAATTTGTGGGGACAATCTACAGCCATCATTAGCATTAAATACAAACACTAACCATTGCTTTTTAACATAACCACAAAAAAAAGTCATTTATTCTTTCAAAGTTAACAACTACATCAATCAATACGAGTATACCTTTACCAATGACACAAAGAGTATTCACCAAACCATTGTCGATCTTACTATATAGGGTGAACAGTAAAGTAAATCCAAAGTCTACAAGGGTCCATTATTTATTATATCTATCTAAAATATAAGATTCAAACAATTTCGAACGCGTGATAGGGATAGATTAGAGCCTATTTTGACTGTCGATCTTATTAGTGAAAATTTGTAATTGACAAAAGGTGGAGGGTTAATCTTGTCTTTGTACCTGACGCCACCTGGCAGACCCAACCCGACCCGAGTCTCCATCCTTTTTTCAAAGCACGTATCAGAATGAACAGACGACAAAAGCGCCCATATAGCCCCAAGCCAACCCCCAAAAGAAGAGAAAATACACTGTCACAGACAGACAGACAAGAATAAGAGTGAGAGAGAGAGAGAGAGAGAGAGAGAGAGAGAGAGAGAGAGAGAGAGAGAGAGAGAGAGAACATATTTTCCATATTCACAGTCATTCCTCTGCAGAAAAAGCAAAAGCAAGCACACACACACACACACACACAGTGAAAAATCTCATCCTTTTTTCAAAACAAGGAACAAGAATCCTTCTTCACTTGAGTTTCCGGTTCCTGAAGAAACAATATATTCATGGTTTGCCCTTGAGTTTCGGCTCAAAGTTTCGATTTTTACGTCTCTAATTGTTGGAGATTTGCGTGGAAACTAGGTAAAACTGTAAAAGCAATCCTTCTTGTTCCATGTTTTTTGTCCCTTATTTTCTTGAAATCTTGTGCATGATAGATAGATTGTTGAGTTTCACAACATTGGGAGATAATGTATAGACATTTTTGCTAATTTTGAGCTGGGATTTTGGGTTTTTCACAATTATTTTTATTTTTTTTTTTTATTTTTTTTTTCACAAATTAATGAGCTTGGGGGTTAAAAAGATTTGTCATTTGTGGACGTGAGTTTTTTTCTCAAAAATTTGCCTTATAAACCCAAACAATATGATCTTGGAATCTGGAGAACGTTAGTGTATCCACTTTTATAGTATTAAAAGTGACTATTTGAAACTTAATTGTTGATCTGTTTTGGTAAACCTCAAGATCTGCCTTTATGCATTATATGCTCTCTTACAACAATCATAAGATTTCTTAAATTTTTTCTTTATTAACTACATATAAATGCTCATCCTATTTGTTCATTTCTGATTTAGAGTTGTACAACATCAGTCTTCTTGATGGGATGCCTTTTGTTTTTGTAGGAATGAATATCCTGTTAAGTTACCTTTTTTTGGTTCTCTTGTTTATAGGCTAATTTTCCGGCAATTGTTTGTCATAACCATATCTTCTTGCTTCTCGATTGGCAGACTGATCTCATTGAACGGAGAATAGTACATTGATGATAAACGGTTACGATTCGCAATGGAGAGGATCCCCGATTCACATTCCCACCTAAGGCAATTCCACTTTGTCCCCAAGGTGACAAAAACTCATCCCATATTGTTCAAAGAAGATATCCAAAAACCATTCAAACCAAAGGATCCCTTTGAGTTAAACCTGCTCGTGCCTCCTCAAGCATGGAAAGGTAAGAAGTTCCTGCAAGAAGATGAGGATGACGAAGAACACATGCCCGATGTCCTCTCATTCAAGATAAGCCAAGATTCATTCGAAGAAGTCGGTTCGACCTCGTTCCACGGGGTGAGCCACCCTCCCGAACCCACAGACACTGCCTTTCTGAAACCAGTCTATGTCCCGATCGGGCACAAAAATGGGGACCCCAATTGCTCGATCAAGAGCCTCCCTGATAAGGGACATTCTTTCTTGGAAGACCACCCAATCGGGCTCCCAATAAAAAATCAGAGCCCGGTATCACTTTCGCCCACCGTGTGCCCGCCTGAGGAGCCCAAGGACTCGTCAGCTGTCTTATCCCCATTCGCTGAGGAAAAAGAGTGCGTGTGGGATTCATCCTTACCTCCGAGCGGCAACGTGAGCCCACTCAGCAGCATCGACAGTGTTGGCATGGCACGGACCATGAGCATTGCCAATAGCTGTGCCAGCACGTATAAAAGTGATGGGATAATGAGTGACGGCATGCTTAGCGTCGATAAAAACTATGACGGCATGAAAATGAGTAGCTTCCCGGGTGAGTCTCTTGAGAGCACAAAAACGAGCCTGAGCCGGGCGAGTGATAGCAGCGGGATTAGCGACGAGAGCAACTGGAGTAACATGACTGGAAGTGCGAATAAGCCTCATAAAGGAAATGATCCGAGGTGGAACGCGATACTTGCCGTACGGGCCCGGGATGGAATTTTGGGCATGCGCCATTTCAAGCTGCTGAGGAGGCTCGGGTGTGGGGACATCGGGAGCGTGTACTTATCTGAGCTGAGTGCGACCAGGTGCTTCTTTGCTATGAAGGTGATGGATAAGGCATCGCTCGCGAGCAGGAACAAGCTTAACCGGGCCCAGACGGAGAGGGAGATCCTGCAGTTGTTGGACCACCCGTTCCTGCCGACCCTTTACACGCACTTTGAGACGGACAGGTTTACGTGCCTGGTCATGGAGTACTGTCCCGGTGGGGACCTGCACACGCTGAGGCAGAGGCAGCCCGGGAGACATTTTTCGGAATATGCCACGCGGTATAAAATTTGCATTTTATTTTTCGAAATTTCAGTGGTTGAATTTTTACATTTTTCGTGTTTTTTTATGGCAAGAGCTGAATCCCTTATGAACTTCACTTTCTTCGTGTGAACTTAGTAGTGTCCACGGATTGGTTGCTTGATCTGGAAATATAGTTTGCTGTTTTGGAAGTTTAACTGAATAGGGACCTATGCATTAAGTATTTCTATATGAGTTGGTGAGACGATCAAAACTGATGTCTCTTCATTTTTAGCATAATGTGGTTGTTCATATATATTGATTAGTGACATAATGTTGCTACTTGATATTGTGTCTCCAGCAAATCACTCCCAAACCTTTTGCATACTTAGATGGTAGAGGCATTATGCACCATTTTACCGATTTTGATGTCTGACTGATGCGTTTTGTTCTATCGAGAAGGCTTAACTGACAAAATGCGGCTATACCTACTCATTTGTGATAATATGCAACAATGCAATCGAAATGAAACAAAAAATCTAGATTTTGATCTCCCTACAGATGCATACAGACTAGTTAATCACGCCAAAGCTTTTCCTGTGGTCCTTACGTTTTTTTGTTATGTTCTACTCGAAACAGGTTTTATGCTGCCGAAGTTCTCCTGGCATTGGAGTACCTGCACATGTTGGGGGTCGTGTACCGTGACCTGAAACCCGAAAATGTGCTTGTCCGAGATGATGGCCACATAATGCTCTCAGACTTTGACCTCTCCCTCAGATGCGCAGTCTCGCCCACCCTAGTCCGGAACTCCGCCTTCAATACTGAGCGCGGATCTGCCTTGTGCGTCCAGCCCACGTGCACCGAACCTGCATCCGCATGCATCCAACCATCTTGCTTCTTCCCCCGGATCTTCCCCTCTAAGGGCAAGAAGAAGCCCGGAAAGTCACTGGCCGAGGGCACGGGGACCCGGCCCGGTAGCCTCCCGGAGCTCGTGGCCGAGCCGAACGCCCGCTCCATGTCGTTCGTCGGGACCCACGAGTATTTGGCCCCCGAGATCATAAAAGGGGAGGGCCATGGGAGTGCAGTCGACTGGTGGACGTTCGGAATCTTCCTGTACGAGCTGTTGTACGGGAAAACCCCGTTTAAGGGCTCGGAAAATCGGAAGACGCTGTTCAACGTGGTTGGGGAGCAGCTCAAGTTTCCGGATTCGCCCTCGACTAGCTACGCGAGCCGGGACCTCATCCGGGGGCTGCTCGTGAAGGAGCCGCAGAACCGGGTGGGGATGAAAAGGGGGGCCACTGAGATAAAACAGCATGCATTTTTCAAGGGGGTGAATTGGGCTCTGATCAGGTGCAGCACGCCTCCCGAGGTTCCCAGGCCGGTCGAGGCCGAGTTTCCCGGGAAGTTGGCCGGGCCGGTGGAGTTGGGCGGTGTGGGGAGTGGGAGCAAAAGGGTGGCTGGGGTTGGAGCAGAGGTGAAGGGTGGGGGCAAGTTTCTGGACTTTGAGTTCTTTTAGGAATTGAAATGAAAATATAGGAAATGTATTTTTTTTTTTATTTCTGTTGGTTTATTGTAGATTTTTGTTATAACGTACGTCGGCTTATCTGAGGTCTTTTGGTAATGGTTGGAACAATCACAACCGTTGATCTGTACGAGGATTCGTTGGTCTTTTGAAATTTGGAACAATCACAACCGTTGATTTTGTCATTAGAAATTCACTTATTTTATTTCCTCTTGCTCGTTAAGAAAGCACTAAAAAGGTTTTCCAATTATATTTTCTACATAAAATTTGAATTTTAATAAACTTGGAGGGAGCATCCAAAATTCCACACTATTGATATATACTACTACTGTAAATAAATAATGGCAGACAAGGCATGGGACTCGGATCCAAAGCTAGCCATAATAAAACAAAATCCACAAATTGCCTCTGGTTAAAAAAGACAAATCTGAAATCAGCTGTTGAAAGTCCAAATATATAGGATTTGGTTAAATAAAATATAGTGGGGAGTGGGGAGGGGACACATATCATATAGTGGCCAACAGACACGCTGTCTGACAAGTCAAACTCCTCATCATTTCTTTATTCTTTGTAATTGTCTTTCTTTTTTGTCTTTCTTAGTTTCTTTGACAAATTTCAATTCTGAATTGCTATTTACCCGCCCCGCCCCTCTCAATTATGAAAATACCCTTTACTATATTTTTGAATTCTCTCTCTCTAAACTCTCTATCTCTCTAAAACCATAACTTCAACGACTCGTACGCACGTCCAAAAAATCCCGAAAAAATGTCGAAAAAA